CCTCTCCTGTTGTTAAGCCTTTCTTCATAGCTGAAACAAAAGAACTCTGGTCCCTCCCCTTGAATAACAAATAAACCATTATTTTGCACAGCAGAGCGAGGAACATGTGTGCAAAATAAGAGGAAAATGGCCTCAAGAAAACTGTTAAACCGTACAATGTTTTCTTTCACTTTAAAATGTCCTTCCTTGTATAACTATGAAAACCGTGTTTATAAAAAGCCAATAAAATGCTAAATGTAACCTGCCAAGTTAACATATAACACCAACAAATGGCAGATGAAGAGCCAATTTGAGTGTGTACAAATGGGAATATATCTCCCTTTCTGGCTCTGAAAGTGGGGCAAACCATTCACCAAAGTTTAATTAAGATTCTTGCTGCTGTTTTACTGATAATCCTGTGTAGAAAACTGTCACAAGCAAAAAAAAAGACCCTTTTTACCGTTGAGTCATTGCCTGAGAGTGAATGCTTTTGCCACACAAGTAATTTATTTTTCTCAAAGCTAAGTCGCTCATACATCTCTCTGCTCTGTGAGCCAGCAGAGTGAGTTGCTCTCTCTGGAAGTTGTAATCAAGTTAATAATGAGAGAAAAACTTAAAGGTTGTAATCATTTAGCACAACATGAGCGATGGGACCAATGTGTTTTCTTTCAACAACTGCAAACACAAACAGAAACCATAAAGAAACATGGTTTGCCCCCTTCTCGGCCCTAAAAAACAACACTCCCCCACCTGTTCAGTGTCCTGCTGGGCATGGAAAGAAACATGTGTTTGTACGTGTGGGGGTGCATAGCAGACAAAGAGCAAATACATTTAGAATTCATGACTATCCACTGTGTTAAACATCAGAATTACAGTTTTATCCAACTGTACTGTTCTTTGCACATCTAGGGCCATTGTCTATTGTTACAGGGTCTACTGTATGTGAGCAGCTACCACACCATATGGTCCAGTTGCATATATTATAAGCATCATTTCTCTGGGGACAAGCTGATTTGATATGTTATTTCTTGTAAATCTCAGGCAAATGATCAACTCTAATATGAGGTTTCAAATGTAATGACTTCACAAGAACCTGTTATTTTGTAAATGTTGCATCAAAGATTACAAGGTTGTTTTTATCGCAGAAAAAGCATTATATATTGTTTGGGTTAATTGTAATCTAAAAATGAAATTACCATATCATAAGGTAATTAAGCTTGAACCACACATCCGGGCCATAAAGTGCTGCTGCCAGGGGCGCTAGCAGGAATCCTGCACCCCCTGATGGGAAGTGACACTAGGCTCCACACCCTAATGCTGCTTTAATTTACAGTATGATCTTGCCTGTGTGATGAGCCCACGGGTCCCCTTTTCCCTCCACCATTAGCACCTCAGCACACATTTCCATTCCAAACAAGTCCACAAGTCTTCTTTCTTATAGCTTTGCGATTGGTGGTGACTAATGGCATATGTCCCACTTCCTACTCAAAACTATGATCTTTTTTTAAATCAAAAATACAATTACACTAGAAAAAAAGATTCCACTTTCGCTGAACACAGAACTGAGCATCCTACAGAGCTTGTTGAGAGACATTATGAAGTACCGAATTAGGGTTAAGCATCCAGCAGTGTTATGGGTATGTTTTCTTTGTAAGTCTTAAGTCTATAGATGTCTGGCCGTCGATGAGCGTCCTGTTGCCCTACTCAGATTGGTGTGTCCATTACCGTCGTGTCTTTTCGGCCGTGCCGACACCTTCCGCTTCAACATGTTGAATCGGGAGGTTGTCGGCAAAAGGCCGTCGGCCAAAGAAATCACTCTGATTGGCTGTTCAGCTTAGCGAATCAGTGCATGAGAAGCGAAACGGAAGTGAAGAAGGCACACACAGACAGCTATTATTTTTCATTTTCCTTTGCCGCACTAAACATGTTTTCGATTATAAGTCGTTATGTGAAACAGTCTGTGATGGACGAGAGTGAAAATGGTATGCACGCTATTTGTTGTTTGGATCACGCAGTCTGTCTTCCGGTTGCCTCTTTTGAATTAAGAATACACACTACCGCCGCTTGCTGGTAAGGAGAGTTATTGCCACTCACGCATGCGCATTGCATACGTGCTACTTGGCCGTTGGCTGAAGTCTTTGCGGTGTGTTCCAGTTAGGGCTGCTCAATTAATCGTATTTTAATCACAATTACGATTTTGGCTTGCAATGATTATGAAAACAACATAATCTAAATAAAACGATTATATATTTTTTCTTTTTTTGTTGGTTTTTCAGTTGAATTATACTTAAAGTTCAGGGTAATCAACTGTTAAAAACATACTGTTAAACATTTTCAATAAATGGATGTTTTCAAAGTAAATGGATAAACGTTTTTAATAATGGTGATATCAATTCTTGACCCAAATAATCGAAATTATGATTTTTGCCATAATCGAGCAGCCCTAGTTCCAGTGCGACTTTTTGGCCAAGACGCAGGAGACGTGAGGCGACACAACAATCGGGTCCGTCGGGACGTGTTCTTTGGTGTGTCCGGGCCTTAAGATCATTTGCAGAATTGCAGCCATAATAATTTCTGCAGATTCTCATACTTCCTTATGTACTAACTCAGTAATTGACATGTTAAACTTGATTCCACAATTTCATTGTGTTCTGTAGCTAGCAAGCCATTTTCAAATTGGATAAACGAACAACTAAAATGTTTGAAGCGAAGAAGTTTTAAAATGATAGCGCAAAATACGGATACAGCATTTCTAACCAACAAAGATTTGGTTGAGTTGCCATATTTTTAATGAATGCATCTGAATTTTGTATGAAGGAAATACTTTGCAAGTCACAAAGAAATCTCTTTTCAAAAGAAGAAACAACCACAAGCAGTCTTCAAACATGAGAGGAAGGCTCCAACAAACAAGATGCGAGCTGCACAGCATGAGTACACAAATACACAGTGGTACACAATCTCCCATGTAACACAACTAAAGCCATTCTTTCCTTTTCCAGTACGTTAACATCACAACATTCCTGGGACAGTTCTGGAAATAAGCTATAGTTAAACATGAAAGAAGGAGAACGAATCTATCTCAGGTGAAATTGGGTGACCCTCGCAAGAGATTAGTCCATTAGCAAAGAGGAGAGCCCCTCTCGCTTGACAAGTAATACCAGCTGTGACACTGGGCGCCGCCTGTCTGTTCAGGAGGGGGGTGGTGGTGGAGGTGGTGGGGGAAGGGTGGGGACTTGGGAGTGAACAAAAAAACAGATGCATCTTTCTGACTATTTGTTCTAGGAGTAATTCAGAGCTCTGTTTTTCAGTTGTATCTGTTTTTGGCTAAACTCAGGCCCAGGAGCTGTTGTTTTTTCAGCAGTTCAAATATAATAGACGCAAGCCTGTTTTTTATTACAAGTATTGATGCAGTTTTATTGCAAATCCCAAACTCAATAAACACTTTCAGTCAGATTTATTTGCCTGGATTAAGTAGATACAGTATATATTTTCCTTTGGAACAGCTGAAGGGAAACCATGGCCCTTTGCAAGAACATGCAAGAGACTGACCATCTGTTGTGAAAGCAAACACACATGACCATTGCTTGAGGCCTGCTAAACACAAAGCAGTTTAGATGGCCATAAAGTCTAACCATCAACACCAACTCAGGGCACTCTCCTCCTGTCTCAAGCACACGGCACTGCAGTGGCACAGCAGTGTAAAAGCGTCTTAAAAGGGCTGTTCATTTCCTAACAAATAAACCACCTGAGCCTGAATGATAGGTGCTGCATGGTGTTAATTTACAACAACAGACGCCACCGTAGTGTGACGAGGTAGAGGGAGTACAGTGAGATTAACCTCTCCACCCCTTTCCTTTCTGTGGGAGTACTCTGAGCCCCTGTGCAGCTTTGCTTAATGGCCTGGCTGAGTGATGTGAGCACATGGTGCTGCTACCTGTTGGCAGACAACAAGGAAGCCTGGAGAGAGGCATCAACACCCATTGCACAATACAAACCAAGCGAAGAATAAGCACTGAGAGTTGTTTTAAAACGTTGTACTTTATCGTTGTTCCTTATTTTTCATAGTCAACAGTGGCAAAACATCAATTTTCAAAGCATATTTGAATTTCTTAATGGCAAGTTGCTGAATTCACATCAAATATTTAAAAAAAACACCATTTTCTATTTGTAGAGTCTTGGAAGCATTCGCTTATGCCACCCATTGCTACTGCCCAAATCCAAAATGAGACCTGTCCAACATGTAATTACTAGTTGGAGCCTGCAGCCAACAGGCAGCCAATAATTACAATAAATCAGACAGGATGTGAACATCATTCCGCTCAACAGCCTGTGTTAAACAGGAGAGAAAACACATTAAAAAAATTAGGCATCATGATGACATCATGGCATGAGCACATGTGCCCCACTGTACCCCACTGCCTGCCTCTCCCATCATGAGGGGAGGGGGGGGGGGGGGGTAAAAAAAAGGGAGGCACAATGGAATAGTTAATGTCATATAAGCAGTTTCTATACAAATATGTCTCTTTTATAGAAACGATCAAAAGTGTACAATGATAAACCATTTACTGAGGTAAGTGAAGTTAAAAAATCTCATTTTTCATACATGTAATATGTACGTTTTGTTTCATAATTTAACACACCTGCTATGGATAGAAACACATAGGAGTGACCAATGTGAATATTGTTGGTCTATTTGTTTAGTAAAAATCGTCACATCATAATTTGTTATGACTTTATAAAATATATTTCCATAGGTCGACATTTACATGCAAACTATATTCATATAAAAAGCATACATGACTACATTCTTCGACGAATAACCTAAAGTGTACTGCAGCACACTAACTAAAACTTAAAACGAAGAGCCACTCTTCCCCGTAAATGTGATCGATAACCCGGGCTGAAGTTTTGTTGGCACCTGCGTGTGCCTACTTTCCTCCACACAGTCTACCTGCGGCTCAGAGCACCGAAGCGACCCGCAGGAACACCACGACAGCCCGGATAGTGGGACAAAAGCTTACCTTGGCGGAGAAGCACGGAGATGACGAGGGCACACACACAGCTGGCGGACAACAAGTGCATCCTTGCGGCTCTTTCAGATCCTCAGTCGGCTGCTTGCTTCAGAGGTTTGTTAAAACACTTGGCTGAGTTGATATTTGAAGGTGGCTTCAATTAAAATGGTCCTCTCGGGCTCCTGTTGTTGGTAGTGTACAGACAGTAGTTCAGTTCAGATTTGGCTCCTCTCCAAACGTTGCATGTGCTCGCAAACTCGCGCTCACATCAGTTCTGGTGGAACAGGTAATTGCGAGGGGCGCAGAGAGGAGCGCGAGGGAGGGCGGGGATACTGTCTGCAGCCCCGCCCCCCCCCCCCCTCATCTGCCCACCCTCCCTTTCCCCTCCAACACCCCCCTCCTCCTCCCACACAAAAGTGCACCCAACCCCTTTTATTGAGACCCCCCTTAACTCCCTCGCCCCCCTTCTTCCCCTCCCTCTCACCCCTTTTACTCTCATCTTCAACTTCTTTTTTTCTCCCCCCACCCTTTTCTCTTTCCAACATCCACCCTCACTCTGCATGCGAGCACAAGTAGACAAACACATGCAGGGGGAAACCTTCAATCCAGAAAAAACTCCACACTTGTTTCATGCACAATTCCCAGAGATGAAACATCTTAATCCTCAATATGCATTTAAGATCTATTGATGTAAAAGTACATATTAGTACATTTTAGCACTAAAATGTAGTAGTAATCTGACATTTCATTGAGTGAATGCATCTCTTGGTCTTCTAACCTTCGAAAAAACCTCTTGAGAAGCTGCATCTAAATGTCTTATTATTTCTGCTTTTAAACAATGAATCAGTTATCAAAATATAAAGTTGCCCTAACCCTTTTTTGTGTGCATTGATAGACTCAACATTTTAATTTGAATCCAAAATATTGTCTTATTGCAGTCTGTTTAAATACTGTACATCTATGAACAACACTACCAACCTAAATTGGCCATTTTGGGTGATTTTCATTGTTCCAGTGGAGCTGAATGATTGAATTCCTCCTCAATTCAAAGTCAGTTCATTGTTGAAAAGGGTATGTGTCATCAAGATAGACAAGGCTGACAAGTTGACATTTTGATTTTATATTTATTTGTTATTTTTGCCTGATGACAGTAACATTTGATGAGCTTATCACAGTGTGATATCTGAATCTGACAATCACAAACTGGATGAATGTGAAGTATTTTGTTAAAGGAGGATGAAAGCGTAATTAAGGAGCACTATTGGAGTGATTTATTGGACTCTGGATTAATTCATTTGGATTCCCGCTGTATGAAGAAATTAAAGGACGGCGCAAGTGGAAACAATTCACAAAGGGATTAAACTGTTTAAAACACATGCTCAAAGTAAACCGGATTTTGCCGATGTGTTTATGTGGATTCAAAAGTCGTAAATAATCTACAAAATGGAGGAGACCGATCTGATCGGAGCAACTGTGACAAATAATCCAACTGAAACCGGCATGGACAATGACTATGTTTTAAAAATGCGCTTATCCAGAAAAGCCTGGGTTGGACACTTTACGGGCAGAAGAAACATTTCTATTAAAGAAAAAATATATACATTTCTGTCTTTTTATAGTCTTTATTAGCTACTAACTTGAATTTTTATTCAAACTAATTAATCAATTATTTTTATATTTTATTGTAATGTAGAGACAAGGCTTTTAGTGACAATCATGTATTGCGTTACAATTATATGTAATTTTTTTTTTAAAAGTCTAAGTCTAAATATGATATTTGGCCTCAAACCATCTGAGGCCTGGCGCCCCCCCACGATCTTTGGCGCCCCCCCAAGGGGGGTGCGCCCCCCAGGTTGGGAGCCACTGCCCTATAGCATGTGAAGTACAAGGTGTACTCTCATAGTGACTGTCACAAGCTAAACATGCTACTTAACTCCTTTACTTGAGAACAAAACATATTTCTCCTGACACGCACACTGAGGTATGCTTTCAAGCGGCCCCAGACCTGTTCCATTCAGGAAGTGAAACCAAGCATTGTGCCTCACAGGCGGAGGACAGAAGGTTCATGGTAAAGCAGGCTATAGGATGTGGGTCCAAGGTTAATTATAATGAGAGAATTTCCACATAAATAATTCAAGCTGTAATTAATTATTAAAATCCTTGCTCATATCTCCTTACTTTTCTATTATTTCACTGAAAATATTCAAGAGCTGCGCCACTATAATTAATATCCATACAATTAGCCTACTATGTTAATAATTAGAATTTATGTAAGGGACTCTGCAATTGTTCTCAGCTCTGTGTAAAGTCACTAACTGTCTATATTTACCTGCATAGCGTGCCACGGTTTCAAGACAGGTTTCTAAATTAAAGACAAATAGATTGTGACTATGAGGGCTGTTTACTGGTTAAATACCACGCTCTTGATTTACGGACATAAAAGTGACAGTTATAGCTAGTTCATTTCACAAGTTGGTAAAAATAAACTTCAGAGCATGTCAAATTAAATTTAAACCACACTCACAGCAAATGAAATGATTTACCCCTGTTCTGTAACTGCATGATCATGGTTGTCTGATCACAAAATGTGTGTGCCTGCTTGTGCGCACAGTGTGTGTTGGGGCTGGGGGAGGCAATCTATCCGGGTGAACAAGTAAGTATTCCTCACCCTGGGTGTGAAATTCATGTATGATGGTTTGTGCAAATGGAGTGAGTGCACAGGCTGTGAAAACCTAATGCAATTTGATTAGAAGTTTACTGCAAAGCAATATTTTTCTTGCCTCAGTGCGTTGAGTGCAAAAAAAGAACTATTTGCTTTTTTTCCGTGTGGGTGAAAGAGAATGAGACTGAGCGATGGCCCGAGCCTGGAGCGTGATGTTCAATTACCAAACTATAACATCTTGGTAATAATTGGAATTGCAGGTGAGACTGGTCAAGGACTTAACAAAAACCGAACAACAAATCCACGTCACCACGTGAGCAGGCTGTAGAAGTTCTATTCAGATGAATAAATGCAGCTGAAGCTCAGGTTCATTTTGTATTCACAGGAGAGCATTTTCAGTCAGTCCCCGTGACTGCAGAAAGAGATTACACAGAGACTAATGAATTACAATATATCATGTCTGGAGGAACTGCTCCAACTCCAGCTGTCTGTTATTTGATGAAAGAATAAACGCTCCTATTTTTGACATCTTGTGTGACATAGTGTGACATTGCTCCTGCTATGAGCATGGAAACAAACATCCTCCCGTTGCTATGGACTAAAGCAATACAAATACACATTTTTGACATTGGGGAATGCTGCTGGTGACAGGAAATCAAGCTCTTGTTTCAGGGCTACACTAATTACCATTGGGTTGTTTCAAATAAAAAAAATAAGGAAATTCATCTTTGTCAGAATGAATGCAGTAACCTGTGCTATGTGCAGCATGGGCTCCGGCCTAACAGAATGTTGTTCATTACAGCTCCACGGTGGTCAGTTCCCTTTCCAATTCTTCATGTTCACCCAGTTAAAGCAGTAAAAATGGCACAAGTTAATAGGCTTTTCTCCAGGTTTGTGAAAATCAAATTCCTTCCATATCCTGTGGATGTGTTTGCCCCTTCTGAAAAGCTCCTGGGAGGCAGACAAGTGATTAGTCTCCTTTAGATTGGGCTTCAGTAAACTGTGTCAAGCAGCGAACACAGTGACCCGACATTTTCAGCACGGCCAAGGGAGAGGAAGATCCGCTTAATGGCTAGTTTTGTGCGGAGCGGCAGCCCAACTCTGGATCGATAATTGCTTCATTAGGTAATCTGATTGAGTGTGTGAGCAGCCTGTAGTCGATGCAGAGTTACCTCTCTTTCTGTGAAGAGTCTGCGTTTTATTGATTCAACTGTTCTCTATAGAGCCTAACTTTTCTCCCCCAACTAATCCACACATTTACACGGAGAAAAGGAGAATGGATCTCTTTGTTTGAGCTTCTCATGCCATCCATACCTCACTTGTATTAAAGCCGGTCAATATAAACTGCTTCTTGATAACAACAGTCAAACAAATGAGGAGTCCAAATTCCATGTCTTATGTCTGCCAGGTTGTTTCCGGTGGTTTAAAAGGTCAACTGCGTCAACAATGTTTAGCATGCATGCAATGTTCTGCATATTTCAAACAGTTGTTCAATTTGACTGAGAGCTAATGATAGATGTTGTGAGTGAATTACTCCATTAACTGGTGGTTTGTCGTTTCTAGACCTTTTACTGTAGCTGAAAACAGGTAGAAAACATTGAATGTGAACTAAAACAGTAAAGTTAAAGGCCGTCCAATCACGACCATGAGCTGAAAGACACTAGTGCACTTTGGAGCTGAAGGGAGTTGGTTAATCATACTCAATGAGTTTGTCACTGCAAATAACATTTGGACATAGTCATCTGATCCATTGTTAATACATATTTTTTATTTTAGTCTTGGTGTTTTAAATGTCAAGTTTTTACTTCTGAGCTTTATACGCATCTACATTCAGCTTTGCAGCGTTATCGCTATAACATTGACCTATTCTTTAATGTCAATGGTTGGCGTTGGTTTTTATATTATATACTCTTTCTGTCTTTATGGTTCTTTAACATTATTTTGTGAATATAAATTATGAAATAGGTTGAGCCCCAATAACACATATAAACTCAGCTTTAATGATTTTCTGAATAGCTAGCATGTACATTTACACTATTTACTACACTATATCATTGCATCAGTACTTTAACCTTTAACACTGGTACCATTTCTCAGTTTTGACCATGCTATTTTACTGTCTTAATTTTAATGTATTTTCACCACGTGTGAGTTTTTTTAAAACTGGTATACTCAGTTAATCCTGTCTTGTGGAACCGTGTTGCAGCATGTGAGTGCAAATTTACCGAGACAAATTCCTTGTGATACCATTGTGCTTGGTGAATGAAAGTGATTCCTCTGGGCTCTATGACCTGATGGGAAGATGCTACAGAGAAACTACTGCAAACATAAGGAGAATAGTGCATTTTCAAAAAGATATTTCTACTGCCTAACATGATTTTTTTAATAATAAAACCTATGATATATGCCTAAATCTTCTCTAAAAGGAAATTACACTCTTTGGAGTAAACAAGGCATTTATTTGAGACATTTGCTCTACCCTGACATTTAGATCAAGGCACACAGACTTCAAAGTCTTGCTCAACAGTGAAGATAATATGAATATGTCATGGGGTTGAGCAGGTGTCTCTGTCTTAACACTATCCTAATAGAAAGACCAAATATGAACTGAAACCAAAATATCAAAGAAAAAAAACGTTTTAAAT